CAATGTGTGTGTGTGTGTGTGTGTGTGTGTGTGTGTGTGTGTGTGTAGGAGTCTCACTCTGTCACCCAGCCTGAAGAGCTGTGGCACCCTCACAGCCACCGCAGTCTCAACCTGCTGGGCTCAGGCAATGCTCTCACCGCATCCTTCCAAGTAACTGGAACCACAGGTATGCACCACCATGCCCAGATAATTTTTTGATTTATTGTAGAAATGAGGTCTCACCAAATTGCCCAGTCTGGCCTCGAACCCCTGGACTCAGGCAATCCTCTCACCTCAGCCTCTGAAGTGCTAGGATTACAGGCGTGAGCCACCGTGCCCAGCCTGAACTCATCAATTTTGATGCCTTTTAGTGCTTCTGTCATTTTTTGTTTCACCTCTTCCGCATCAGCAAAATGTTTCCCTCTGAGGACTTTTCTCCTCCAGAAGAAAAACAACAACAAAAGGATCTGGGATTCGATCATGTAAATAGAGAGGGTGAGGCACAGGGGTCATGCCATTTTTGACCAAAAACTGTGGAACACTCAGAGCAGCGTGGGCAGGTTGTTCATATAAATCACCCATCATGAAATGGGCACATGTATTAAATCTCAAAATAATAATAATAATAATAATTCACTGAAGTTGAATGCAGCCTCTTGCAACAAAGCTAGCTTGTGCACTGATGACAATGAATTCCTAGAACACTTACCTAGTAGGGTGCTACAAAGGGCCTGCCATCCAAAAAAGAAAATTCTATTTTTTTTTTTGGTTCCCTTGCATATTAAACAAAAATACAGATATTGTCTCAATATTACAAAGTATGAGATCCTAAAAATATTCTAACTGGTTTAGAGGTACTGTTCATGGAAGAAGATATGGACCACAAACTAGAAATCAGAATATTTCAAACACATATGAGAAACTGAATACTGGCCAGCAAATAATTGACAGGAGATTTTATGATAATACAACCAAACAGTGCTCTAATAAAAAAATTTTTTCTAATAATTTTGGGGACAGAGATGAGAAACTAAAGCCAGGGAAGGGAAGCTTTCAAAAGACAACCTCCAGCATAGCTTAAGGAACCAATGATAGGTTTCATTCTACTGTTTCTTATAGATAACCAGAATGCCCCAGTGGATCTATACAATGAGAAAGCTTTGAAAGAGAACACTCAAGCATGAAGAACATCTTGATTATAGTTCATACATTCTTTTAATTAATCAGGAAAGGAGATTCATTCATTTATGAAGATTTTCAAACCCAACCCTAATCATCACACAAAAAAAATAAAATCGCAATTCCATTATCAAATAATTACGACCAGTTGAAGGGACTTTGAGGGATTTTTTGTTTGTTTGTTTGTTTGTTTGTTTGTTTGCTTGTTTTGTCTCTCGGTGAGTAGGTTAGTTGGTTGGTCAACTTAATTTTTTTATTGTTTTGTTTTGGGAGTTCAGAATTCCCCAGAATAGATGCTGACAACTATCAAATTACAAGTGAGGGTTACCTTTGTCATTCTTCCCCCATATATCATACCCTCCTCCCTACATCCTCCCTACCACTGCTACCATCAGGTCCCCTTCAGAGGCATATTTAGAAAAATGTTATCTGTAAATATTTACTTTGCTCTACAGCCATTGCTAGTAATTACCATATAATATAAAGGTAATTACCAAATAAACAAAAGAGGATGGTTTTAGGGAAAGTATGGCCAGATGGGTATGTGTGGAAGAAGAGATGGTTAGTATGGGTGGGAAAATTAGTCATGTTGGACTACTTGTTTTCCACAGAATTGGAATTATTTTTCATATAGGAGTCAATTAGGACTAACCAATCCCAATAACCTTATAATTCCCCTACAAGTATACAGGAGATTACAGATTTGTATATGACAATTATCACTCTGAAAGGAAATTTGCTAAACACAGTGACACTTTAGTTTATGAAGAGGTTGCTCTTTCTCCTCCTCCTCTCCCTTCTTCCTCCCCCCCCACCCCCCCACTCGCCTACCTTTCTTCTTGCCTTTCTGTTTGTCTTATATAGTTGTTATCTAAAACCAAGGCTGTGTATTGTTACCCACTCCCCTTCCATAAGATCTTTTTTTCTTCTTCTTTTTTTATTATGAAGATGTGGGGTACAATTCAGGATTAGGTATACAAATGTTGATTATGCAGGTACCCTTTTTGATGAAGTGTGCCCCTCCCTCCCCTAGCAGTTTTCCTCAACTGCCAATCCCACCCTCCCATGAGATCTTTCTTGAATGAATTTGTACTTACATAAGTTTGATGACCTCAGAGTTGACATATTCCTTATATATATTGGAATTGTGAAATGCATTTAACATCTGAAAAGAGAAAACAAAAGAGCCAACATGTATTTCTTAGTCAATTCTATAATAAAACTAATACAAGAAATCTCTGATTTACCTTTGTCTCAATATCTTTGCTTAGGTTTGTGCTGGCTTGTGAAGTTTTATTTTCACAATTATCATTGTATGTGATTCCAGAAATATAAAAATCACCTTGATAATAGTAAATCTTCCCTGTAAAGTAAAAAAAATTCAAATAATTTTAAAATAGGAAGTGGCTTTAAGTCCATTTATGTCTCTGCCTCAACATTCAATCAAGCTTTAGAAATAACCTGAGGGAAAGAAAGGAAGAAGAAGAGAATGCATAATCATTTATTCTAGAAGTGGCAATTTTATATCATTCATTCAATAATCTCTCTTCTTCTCTTCCTGTGATAATACCATCATTGTCCTGTTGAGTCCAGATATGCTTGGCATTCTCCTCAAAACAGAAATGCCCACAGCCACTAACAATTCACCTGAGTATGTAGTAGAGATGAAACTTATTTTTTATGTATAACCTAACCTCTTAGCCTAGTGATTGCCCAGTTACTCTTTCTAAGTAGTTTTAATATAGGAAATGTTACAAGTATCAGTCACTCTTTAGTTTTTTATAGTTTACACTCTCTTGCATCCTTGCATGTGCCTGTTGCTGTCCACTCCTTGATGTCATTCGTGGAGGACTCCATGTTGCCCTCCAGTTCCCTACAGTACGTGGTGGCTGGTGCTTAGTGTGTGTCACAAGGTCTCACATTCCCATCTTTTCCTCTCCCTGCATATAAACTGATATACTAGGCCACTATCATTCAAACCCGGACAAGCCTGGAGTTCATTCTTCCAGGTTATAGTGTACTCTATTTTTAACAGTAAGGAACTAATGAGTTCCTTAGTTCCAAGAAGAAAGAAATCAAATTTTATTTTTATTTTTTTATTTTAAAATGTTGGGGTACAATTCAGAGTTAGGTATACAAATATTCTTGTGCAGATACCCTTGTTGATGCGGTGTGTCCCCAGGCAGACTTCCACTACCGTCGATCTCACCTCCCAGAAATCAAATTTTAAAAATAGGGGCTAATATGAAATGGGCCCTGTTTTGGTTATTAGCCTTTCCTATATTTTGAAGCAATTGTGCTCTTGGTCCACCTTAAAAATGCACCACATAGTCTCTAAGAGACTGAAAAGTATGCTTTTCTGAGCTAAAATAGTTAGTTGTCCTTAAGTCAGAAATAGTTTTAGGTTAAAATAAAAGCTAGTTTCCTATACTTTTATAGGTTCCTATATTTTCTCTTATATTAACCAGGTGCATATGAAAGTAAAGTGCCAAGCTCTAAGAAGTTATCTGAGGCCATCTGAAATAAATAATGCATATGAAGTTAGAGGAGCTAGTTCCTGCCCTGCCACAAGTTTAGCTCTGTCACCTTGGCATATCACTTTAGCTTTCTGACACTTTCTTTATTAATCATAAAGACTAAATCACAGTAGATGAACTCCAAAACCCCCTTCTTCCTACTATTTTATAATTTGATTTGTTTTTGTTTTTTTTTTGACTTGGAGTCTCACTCTGTCACCCAAGCTGGAGTGCAGTGGCACACTCACAGTCACCTCAGCCCCAACTTGCAGGGCTCAGGTGATCCTTCTGCCTCAGCCTTCCAAGTAGCTGGAACTGCAGGTACATACCACCATGCCTGGCTAATTTTTTAAAAAATGTATTGTAGAGACGAGGTCTCACCAATTTGACCAGGTTGGTCTCGAACCCGTGGCCTCCGGCAATCCTCTCAACTCGACCTCCCAAAGTGCTGGAATTATAGGCATGAGCTACTGTGCCCGGCCTTGTTTTATAATTTTAATGTATGAAGTTTGTCACCAAATGAACTAGAGTGAAAACCTAGAATCTGCTAACCATGTTACATCCGAAATACTGAACCTGGGTAATTACAAGCAGTAAGATTAATTTGTGAAAAGTCACATAAATTATGTCCAGATTCAGAGACAGCATGATTAGATTTCTGACTCTAGTTATAATTTTACTGGAAAATCATTTTGGTTCAAGGCGCCATTTTAAAATTAATTTTCACTTAATTATTGTTATGAACTGAATTGTATCCCTCCCCACCAGATTCACATGTTGAAGTCCTTGACATAAATATGACTGTATTTGGAGATGGAGACTAAGGGAATTAAGGTTAAATGAAGTCATAAGGGTGAGGCCCTAATCCAATAAAGACAGTAGTCCTTATACAAAGAGGAAAAAAAATATTAAATTCATTCCTCTTTCACCCCCCCCCAATCCCTCTCTCCTCTCTTAGTCAACAAGCAAGCCAAGCCAGGTGCAGTGGCTCAGTCTGTAATCTCAGCACTTTGGGAGGCAGGGACGAGAGGATTGCCTGAGCCCCTGGGTTTGAGACCAGCCTGAGCAACTTGGTGAGACCTTGTCTCTACAATAAATCACAAAAATTAGCCGGGCGTGGTGGTGTGGGTCTGTTGTTGCATCTACTTGGAAGGCTGAGGCGGAAGAATCATCTGAGCCCAGCAGGTTGAGGCTGCAGTGGCCATGAACATGCCACTGCACTGCAGCCTGGGTGACAGAGTGAGACTCCAACTCAAAACAACAACAACAGCAACAACAACAAAAAGCAAAGAAAAGGCCTAAGGCAGTTATTTGCAAGCCAGGAAGAGAGACCTCCTCAGAACGCAACCCTGGTGGCACTTTGTTCTTAGACTCTCAGTCTCTGGGACTGTGAGAAAATAAATGTCTGTTGTTTAAACCAGTCTATAGTATTTTGTCATGACAGCTTGAACTAATACAATTATTTAGATAAGTTAAATGGGAAGCTATAATCGACCCTGTAATGTGGCCAGTGATTTTCAGTTTTACACACAAAGCAGCAGTCAATCTTCACATGGCAACATGTCCTCATCCCAAAGTTTTTTAACTTAAGATAGATGTGTATTTTATTACCTCTCAAAAACTGTCTTAGACTAGTAGATTTTAACACTATGTACACATCACAGTCACCACAGAGCTTCCAAAAGGCACACATGCATGGGTTTCATCCCAGTTCTACTAACCATATAACCTAAGGGTAGGACCTGTGAAATGAACATGTCTTTAAAATAGTTCCACAGGTGAGTCTGAGGAGAAGCCAGTGTTTAGAAGTATTAGAGGAACTATGTGAAGAATTTTGGAATTATTTATACATGTGTATGTACGTTTTTGGAAATAGCGTTGTTAAGTATAACAGTTAAGAAAGAGCTGAATCAAAGTCATTTTCAGAATAATGGCCCTTATGAGATATTAACCTTTGAGTTAATCTAAGTAGAAATTCATAAATTAAGAAATGGCTTGAGAAACAATAGATATACTTAGACATGGAAACTAATTTCATACCACTTAAATAAGGCATCACAATAACTGTATCCAGCTTAAGTGGTTAACAGTATTAATAAAGACTGTATTGGTTTCTGAGCCAGAACTCTAGAAAAAACCATCTTTCAAACTGACATCAAACAACCTTTGCAACAGAATTTGAGTATCGATTTTTACTCCACAAGTAGCCCAGCTCAATTAATTTAGCTTTCAGTAATATAAGCAGCTCTAGTTTTATATCAAAAATAATAGGTGATTGACCATGTAGAGACATTCAAGAGTGAATTCTCATCCCACACACTTGCTGCTCAAGTCTGGGTGCTGTAGTTCTCCCTCTGCATCCCTCCTTTGCTTGAAGGCATTGCTTCCTGAAGTGACCTGTTAAAATGCAAACTACATTTTGGAAGAATGGTGAATTAAGCAACTAGTCCCCACTAACACACTGACAGGATTTATTCACAAGGGCTTGATGTTGAAGGCTATCTTTAAGGAAATTTTGTGAAGAATGTTCTTTTTTTTAATGAGTAAATACAAGGAGGAAATAGAAAGACCCAGAATATGAAGTTTTCATGAATATAACAGACAAGAGATGGAGGACTCATTACCCTTCTGCAGACAAGTTCAAAGATAGTTGGAGAGAGACAAAGGAAAAGAAACCAGGTTAAAAAGAAAAAAGTAGAATTGTTGCTGACCCAGCCAACATTTATCTTCACTGCATTATTGTATAGAGTAATATATTTCAGAGATATAAAACTCATAAAAATCATGATAAAGTAAAATAATACACTTAAAATATCAATATTAATATCAGGCTTTTAAGTGAGCTATGCCACTTAAAATTTGCAATATCAAGCAAGTCACTTGGTTTTCCTGAACCTCAGTGTACTGCATGTGAAAAGACGAATGGTAGCAAAACCTACCCTCTCTAGCTCAAAGGATTATTGTAAGACTAAAGGATGAATGTCAAATTTATTTTAAAACATTAAGTGGTTACGCAAGTTGAAAGACTTACTATTCTATAAAGTAAAAATAAATCGGAAAATCAAGCTTTGTGAGTTGCTATTGATCAAAGTTTTTAAAATAAAATTATATTTGTACAGACATTTTGTCATTCAATTATACTTGATCATCTACTGTTAAACGAGTCATTTCTTGATTATCCATTGCTACTTATCCATCATATCTTAATACCCAATAGCAGAATTGAGCCAAAAAGTGTAGGGATCTCTACAGTTTGAGATACATTTACTACAGAATGTAGCTACTCAACGACAAGTCTACTACATAAACTCCTTTAATGACAATGAATATTGGCATCAAATTATTGAGCATTTCCATCTCACCTACACCATCATAGTTGGTGATATAATATATAAGGAGACATCTAATTTAAAAATCTTTATAAACTTCTCTGTCAGGTAAACTTAAAATTATGTTGAAATAAATAGTGAGTAAATGAAGAAACTTCCGAGAAGAAATTTAATATTCATGTAGTTTCTCGTCAATTTTTACTTTTATTTTTTTGTTTATTTTTATTTTTATTTTTTTGAGTTAGAGTCTCACTCTGCCGCCCAGACTGGAGTGCAGTGGCCGCTCCCGGCCACCGCAGCCTCGACCTGCTGGGCTCCGGCGATCCTTCCGCCTCAGCCTTCCCAGTAGCCGGAATACAGGCATGTGCTACCACGCCCGGCTGATTTTTTGATTTATTGTAGAGATGAGGTCTCGCTGCCCAGGCGGGTCTCGAACCCGCGGGCTCAGGCAATCCACTCACCTCAGCCTCCCAAAGGTGTGGGATTACAGGCTGAGCCACCGAGCCCGGCTTTTATTTTTATTTTTATCTTTTGAGTTGAAGTCTCACTCTGTAACCCAAAGTGGAATGCAGTGGCATGCTCATGACCACCACAGCTTTGACCTGTTGGGCTCAGGAGATCCTTCCTCCTCAGCCTTCCAAATAACTTGAACTACAGGTGCTCACTACCACACCCAGCTAATTTATTAATTTATTGTAGAGATGAGGTCTTGCCAAGTTGCCCTGGTGGTTCTCGAACCCTTGGACTCAGGCAATTCTCTCACCTCGGCCTCCCAAAGTGCTGAGATTATAGGCTTGAGCCACCAGGCCCAGCCTTCTTGTCGATTTTAAAACCAAAATGAGTTTTGTAGTAAGGGTTAAACGAGAATAGTCAATACTTACCAATTGCCAGAAAATGAACAAGAAGTCCAATAGTTACTCCCAAGATTGCCACCACACCAAGAAAAATAAAGACCATCATCCACAGTGGCCAAGATCTTCTCTGGGAAGACACGCCAGGCCTATAAAAGAAGAAAAAGTGACTCAAATTAGATGACTGATATTCTAAATCTACCTGGCTCTCCTTCAACTCATACTTCATGAGCTAATTTATACATTAACTCCTTATCCTAGTTGAAAACTTAAAAACCTCAAATGTTCCAGAAAGGATAGATCCCAATGCTCATTCACCTAACAAATCAAAACATGGTGCTCCAAGCATCACATTAGCTACTGGGGATACGTCAGCCAGGAGAATAGCCATAGTTTCTGTCCTCATGTTGCTGAGGAGAAATTCACTTGCATTTTTTTCTTTCTTCAAATCTAAAGCAAGTAATAAAACATTAGGTATAATCTGATTGCATTTTTTAAAACAATAGCCATATTCTGCACATGAATATATAAAGATTTATAGACACAATTAAATATATAACAGGTTTTAATTCTAGGTTTAATAAATATGGAAGGAAATATAATGATCTCAACTGCAGTAATTCCTATGCTATGAAATTATGAAGAGATATTTTTTTCTTTTTGGCTTACTTTTTAAACTTGTATTTTCTAACTTTTCTACAACAAATATGAATTATTTGTGTAATATAAATCAACAGATGAGTTAGTTGTCCTATCATCAAACCAATCAACTACATGAAAAAGAATCAGTAAATATGCTGGCTTGGCCTCATACAGATAGAACAGTTTATGGTAATGGTTAGGTTGTTATGGCACTAAGCTAATCTTTTAAGGTTAGTTATTTTTCATGTCTTAAAAGACACAATCTCCTTTAATTGCTCATTGGGGGAAGGGTTGTAACGAAAATTTATAATATCAAATTTCAGAACAGTTTTGACTTTCCTTAATCTCTGTATTCTGCATCATCCTAAATAAAACTTACTAAGCGGAAGAGTTTATAATCAGAGGATAAATTTGATGGATTAGATATCCCTATGTATGCGTGAATCTTTTTGTTCTCATTCCTTTCAGGACCAGTTGACTTTTGGGTGTATAAGTTTTGCTTTGTTTTTCACATTACCTTATACGCAACTGTACAACTCCACCCAGTCTTATTTCCTCTTCTCTTCCTTAATCCTGCCTCCTCCTTACACCTCTCTATTTCTTTTGATGACTTGTTAATTAGTGTTTCCCGGAACGAGCATTATTTGTCAAAGTTCTTCAAAGAAACTCCTCGTTTCGGACACATTCCATGTATGCTTTCATACCAGAATTCTGTTGCTTAATCTCAGATTTAGAGAAGAAAGGTTATTCAGGTAGTATTTTAATAAAATATTTATAACCTTATTAATAATTGATAATGTGCTTATTTTAATGATTACAAAGAGTGCATTGTAAAAGCAAGGTCTCAAATTTGTTTTGAATTAGCCAGTTAGAACTTATTCTGGTAACTTAGTCTTCCTGAAATATGCACATTATTCTGCGGAGCTCAAACATTACATAGTTTAAATAATGATTCTACGTGGTGAACCCATCAGAATCCCAAACCTCACCTTCACTCCATACACCTATGTAACAAATCCTCACTTGTACCTCATGATTCTAAAAATTTAAAAATAAAGTAAAAAATAAAATAAAAGAATGATTTTAAGTGGCAGGATGGTTTCCAGATTAACAACTACTTTGCATCTTATTAAGTGGTTTTCCTCTGAAAGTCCCTTTGGGATGCTCTAAAAATTTTTTCCTGAAAAATACATATTGCTGAGTATAGCACTAATATGTCATTTCCCCCTCAAATAGCTTTCTTCCTGTAAAAAATAATTAATGAGATTAAATTTGTACAAACATATTGTATATCTAAAATATTACAGTAATGTTATGCTTTAGTTAACCCTTCCTCTAGTAAATGTGATGCATACATTCTAGGAATTGATTAAAATTTTCTCTGTTTTTTTGAGTTGGAGTTTCACTCTGTTACCCAGACTGGAGTGCAGTGGCATGCTGCTCATGGTCATTGCAGTCTCAGTCTACTGGGCTCAGGCAATCCTTCCACCTCAGCCTTCCAAGTAGCTGGAATTACAGGCGTGCGCCACCACGCCCAGCTAATTTTTTGATTTATTGTACAGATGAGGTCTCACCGTGTTGCTCAGGCTGGTCTCGAATCCCTTAGCTCAGGCAATCCTTTCACCTCGACCTCCCAAAGTGCTGGGATTATAGGCATGAGCCACCGCGCCTGGCCCGATTACAATTTTTTAATAATAGCTTAACTTCTTAAAATTATGTACTAAATGTAAATTTAAAAGTTTATTCGTGAAACAATTTACTCTCCTATTTATCAAATTAATTTTTGGTTACAGTTTTTTTTCAAATGTAAACATTCCATTCTAGAATAAATCCCTCATTTAACAAAGAGAATAGATTAAAATGAATCTTCAGTGAATTTAACCAACTCTGTATACTTAACTATATATATAGTTAACTATATAACTTAAACTACAACTGCCTTACTTGTAAACTGAATCTACTTCAAGTGAGAGCTCATTGTTGTTCTAGCATAACTAACCATTTGCCTTAATCATCTTGCGATAATGATATTAATCAAAATAATGACAAATACATTATTCACAGTTCTAAAAGATTAGTTTCACTATAATTCTATCCTTATGGTTCATGACAGGTATCATTTCTGTGTTAGATTTCCTTGTAACCACACTCTGGAATTGCTTTAGGAATGCAAAGCATTAAAGGTATAGTTTTCATTTATTAAAATTTACAATTAAATGCACCTGAATTCTGCTCTATAATGAAAAACGTTAAAACAAGACTCCAGTGCAAAATTCTCCAAATCTTGTAAAAATTAACTTTTTTCCCCCCTAAATAGAGCATTAACTCACCAGGGTGAGAATTATGAATAAGGAACAGAGAAGAGTAGTGATCAAATGAGCGGTGGTGTCTAGCTCCACTTTTCCCTGGAATGTTGAAGAGAATTCACAGAAAGGAGCCCATTTGAAAATGTATGAGTTTTAAGGAGTATCTGCAGCTTGCCAGCTATTAATTCAGTATCTAAAATGTAAAGTACCTTATTCCAAAAATCTATAATGGTATTCAGATTTTTTTATTATTTCTAAGAAAATCTTTTAATACTAGAATATTAGATTTCAATTATATTACTAGAGAACAAAAATACGATTCTTATGAGTGATTATAAAAGAAATGTAACGCCTCATTTCCTTAATATGTCAGGTCAATTATATATTTATATACTTTTCCAGTCAGCAAAATTTTTGCTGACTTCTGATTCTCTTTTTTTTTTAACTTTCTGAATCCTTTACAGAGACTTCAAAGAGCCCTTAGACCTCAGACAATAGCATGGTTTTTGACAGTGTTCAGAAATAAAAACTGAATTATAGAAAGCAATCAATTAGCAAAAATCTAGAATATATTTTACAGAACTTGTTAAATTCTGCAGATTTAATGTCCCAAATAAAATCCCATTTACCTGTACATAATGTTCTGATTGTTGTGGTAATGTCAGAGACAATGATGGTGGTGATGGTGATGGTGATGACAACGACGATCAAAGTGATAATAGAAATTAGAACCTTCTGGTGCAGTTTCTGACTTATATGCTACATCTAATGCTGGTTGGTTTTTATGGGCTGGGTAAGATATATAGAACAAATAAGATGAAACTTGTCTGACTAGTGTTAATGACAGTCACATTTCTATGGTTACAAGACAGGAGTCATCCAGAGAATGACAGATTTCCTTGACTTGGCTTTTTAGAAAAAAAAATAACAGCCCAATTTGAATTGGTCACTTAAGAGACACACCCAAGAAACAGCTTTGTGGTAAACAGGGATAAACTCTGTATTTGACCAATTCCATTATATTGGCTTGTTCTGCCTCAACTGAAACTAGCTATAACCAGGTAGAAGTTTTTGGCAAATGTCTTTTCACAAGGTATTAATTTTAATATAACAAATATTGCCATAATTCTGATGGAAATGAAATTCTATTTCATTGTGCTTTACACTTGTATTTCCTTAATTACCTGTGAGAATAATCACCATTTCACATATTTTGAGGGAAACTGGGTTCCCTCTTCTGAGAATCCTGTTCATAATTTAGCTTTTTTTCCTATTAGGTTGTTCATCTCTTTTTATAGATGTTACATACACTAAGTTACTTACACTAGATGTTAATATATTATTATACTAAACATTATTCAGTTATGTTCACCTATTTAGTAATCACTTATTCTCAGGGTAAAGTTTGACATGTCATTATTTAGTGGAATCTTTCATCCATGGGATTATTTTTTATTTTATTTTATTTTATTTTTTTTGAGTTAGAGTCTCACTCTGTCACCCAGACTGGAGTGCAGTGGCCGCTCCCGGCCACCGCAGCCTCGACCTGCTGGGCTCTGGTGATCCTTCCACCTCAGCCTTCCAAGTAGCTGGAACTACAGGCGTGCGCTACCACAACCAGCTAATTTTTTTTTGATTTATTGTAGAGATGAGGTCTTGCCAAGTTGCCCAGGCGGGTCTCGAACCTGTGGGCTCAGGTAATCCACTCACCTCAGCCTCCCAAAGGCGCGGGATTACAGGCTGAGCCACCGAGCCCGGCTTATTTTTTATTCTTAATAGTCTAATTGATTATACTTTTTCTTTATAATTTGTGCTACAAATGATAAAATGTTTAAGAAAATCTTTCTCACTTTAACTTCTTCAAAGTATTTTTCTATATTCTCATTTAAAATTTAAAGACTTATTTTTTACATTCAGGTCTTTAAAAACTTCAAGAATTATTTTTTGTGGTGGTATAAAATAATTTTTTTGTTTGCTTTTGAGTCAGAGTCTCACTCTGTCGCCCAGACTGGTGTGCAGTGGCCACTCCTGGTCACCACAGCCTCGACCTGCTGGGCTCCGGCGATCCTTCCGCCTCAGCCTTCCAAGTAGCCGGAACTACAGGCTTGTGCTACCACACCCGGCTAATTTTTTTTATTGATTTATTGTAGAGATGAAGTCTCAAATTGTCCAGGCTGTTCTCGAACCTGTGGGCTCAGGCAATCCTCTTGCCTCGGCCTCCCAAAGTGCTGAGATTACAGGCATGAGCCATCACGCTGGCCCAAGGCATACCTTTAAGGATTACCTTTAAGACATACCCTTCAGGCATACCACATTTTGAAATTTGCAAAAACATGGAATAAACTTTTATTTCACCAACCCACTGAGATTTGGGAGTTTATCTGTTGAAGCAGTTAATACAAATGTGTAACTAATAAAGATGTTATTTGATATGTACAGTCAATTAACTTTTTAAAATGCCTTAAACAAGACTTAATATTTGAAACTGATATATAAGGTGTTACTATTAAGTATCAATCATTTCACATGCATCCATTCTTCCTTCTGATTTGCTCTAATATCAGCAACAGCAGCAGTGAACTGACTTCTCTATCTTTTCACGGACGAACAATGTTGCTGCTGAAACAGTATAACCCTTTCTTCCACCTTGAGCAAAGTCTAAAATTTCAGTAGTTGTGTCATTTTCCCCCTCAGCTCTATGACCACAAAATACCTGTCAGTTATGGAGCACAAGTGCATACATCACATCATGCTTATGGTCTTGATGAATCATCATTCTTTAAATAAATGAGTTATAAGATGTACATTTGTTCCAAGAACACGCCCACAGACAGCTTGTCTAGGTTTCAAATCAACCTGAAGCCTCAGTGTCAGCTTGGATAAGAATTAATCAAATGTTCCATAGCAACTGGGATTATCCACCCCATAAGAATGCTTCCTCTTCCTGGGTTTCTATTACTTTAAAGGTTTATCATAGTATTTGCATCTAGACCTATTTCAAAATCATTCAAACCCATCTTAAGGTCTTCAACTGAATCTTCTGCAGCAATACTGACCCACAAACATTCTATTATTTTCTCAATTCAATTTGCCAACTAAATATTATATATTGTTTTACTTGTGCCATAATTGTTTCCCCAGGTAAATTATAAACTCCTGGAGTGTAGGCTTTTGTGTTTTAGACTATTTTTCCGTCCATTCCAGGCCCTCAATAAGCGCTTATACGGGGAGAGGGGGGGTAAACCTCACCAACAAGGATACCTGCATAATGAACATTTGTATATTTAACCCTAAAGTATACCCCACATCTTTAAAATTAAAAAAAATTTTTTTAAATGACCCAGTGTGGTGGCTCAGCCCGTAATCCCAGCACTTTGGGAGGCCAAGGTGAGAGGATTGCCTGAACCTGGGGGTTCAAGATCAGCCTGGGCAACTTGGTGAGGTCTCATCTCTACAAAAAAATCACAAAAACACTAGCTGAATGTGGTGGAAAGCATCTGTAGTTCCAGTTACTTGAAGGCTGAGGCAGAAGGATTGCCTAAGTCCAGCAGATCGAGGTTGTGGTGACCATGAGCATACCACTGCACTCCAGCCTGGGCAACAGGGTGAGAACTCCAACTCAAAAAAATAAAAGAAAAAGAAAACCATTTGCAACCGAGGTGAGAGGATTGCCTGAGCCTGGGGTTCAAGACCAGCCTGGGCAACTTGGCGAGACCTCGTTTCTACAATAAATCACCAAAAAAACCTTCCCAGACGTGATGGCGAGTGTCTGTAGCTCCAGCTATTTGGAAGGCTAAGAAAGAAAGATCGCCTAAGCCCAGCAGATTGAGGCTGTGGTGGCTGTGAGCGTGCCACTGCATTCCAGCCTCGGTGACAGTGTGAGAACTCCAACTCAAAAAAAAAAAAAGAAAGAAAGGAAAACCATTTGTGGCCAAGATGAGAGGATTGTCTGAGCCCACGGGTTTGAGACCAGCCTGGGCAACTTGGTGAGACCTCATCTCTACAATAAATCAAAAAATTAGCTGGGCGTTGTGGCACGTGCCTGTAGTTCCAGCTTGAAAGGGTGAGGCAGAAGGATCGCCTGCGCCCGGCAGGTCGAGGCTGTGGTGGCCAGGAGCATGCCACTGCACTCCAGCCTGGGTGACAGGGTGAGAGTCTGACTCAAAAAAAAAAGAAAGAAAGAAAAGAAAAGAAAATCATTTGCCACTGAATCTGATACTGGTTTTAAGGGGAAAAAAATTCCAGAAATAAGTTATTTAAAGTATGGCTGAACAAACCTACAAACTGGCAATTATTATTTCAAGCTTATATTGGTTCACTTAAAATAATAATTATTTTTTTTAAATGGATAACCTAATTATGCTGTCAGGACTACCTCACCTGAAGTGGCAGATTTTTTTTCCCTGATTTAAACTCTGATTTTCAGATTAGTAGCGCCATCTAGAGTCCTCCCTATATATTTTTCTGTGGAAGAAAGTCCATTTTTAACAGCAAGGTGAATGGAATTTTTATAGTGCTGTCTTCATATTTATTTTTAAATACAGAACTACCTGTATCACTAATTTTAAAAATCAAAATAAAACAAAACAACTAAATTTATAGGGTCTAGATAAGCATTAACATTTACAAAAGAAATAATTATTTCCCACATAATTCTAGCAAGGATTTGACTGAGTTTATCTGGATTATTTCCCTTCTTTGCTGCCTATATGGCTGGGAGCCTTCCACCCTCCTTCCTCCACAACCTTATACTCCCAGAGCCCTCCCTCTCCACCCGCCAGCACAAATTGCCCTGGGAGCCATCAAGACTGATGCCATCCTGCCCTTTTCTCCTGTTCCATTCCTCACCTCGGGAACCACTAGATTCCCAGCTTGTGGTTGTACCATTCTTTAATATGAGTCCTTCTCACTCCTTTCGCAAACCCTCTAAACCCTGCTATGGTGTTCTCTGGAAATCACAGTTAGCTTTCTGCAGCTTCCTCAGTCTCGTCTCCAAACATCCTGTTCATATTATTTCTCAAACAGAAACTTGGCTTCCCTCCACAGACCATTGCCAACCTCTTTATCTGACGCCTGTTCTTTCCCCACCACCTCTTTCACTACTGTCCCTGTAGGTGGAGTGAATTTCCTTCTCACTCCTTATTACAACCTCCAGACCATTGTCCTCTGCTCCCTAAAATCAGATTGCATGATACGATTGCTAGCCCGGGGAAACACCATCTTACAGAGTCCTACCACTTTGCTAGCTACCCCAGCATGGAAAATTACCAACTAGGCCAAGACTGCAAGACATCCTGCCCTATGTAGCACCTGGCTAACCTCAAGACTTCCTCCCCATTTACTTAGCCACAAACCTTAGTTACCCCCTAGCAATGCCAACTGCAACATTTTTCCCCCAAGCCCCATAACAGTCCTAGTCTGCAAGTGGTGGCTGGCTTCATTCTCGTGTGGAATCTCACTTCGCAGGCTTTCCTCCTTGGAATAAGTCTGTGTTCCCAGGTTTATTCCTACTAAAAAAAAATGTGTTTAGATATTACTTGATAGATAGCACTGATGCCTCACCTTACCAGGAAAAAGATCTACAGGAAATATATTGAAGAGTGAGTCTAAATTTGATGACCTTTTGGGGCTACTCTCATGTTTCTGGTGACCTCCTGAGAACATTCTTTCCATGCCATCTGGCTGTAGCGTGTGGTGTGAAGTTGAAATGCAAAATTATAATACGTGAACTCTAAAACTATGTTTTGAAACTCTGACCAAAAAAAATAAATAAAAACTGGAAAACTGTGACATGGGTGTAGAACATGGATGGCCAGCATGTAATTCAATAAACTGGCTAGGTATAGCCCAGTACTATTCTAATTATGTAAAAGAAACCCCTGAGAAAACTTACGTCTTTATATAAATAAATAAATAAAAACATGAAAATGCAAGAGAAAATTTGAGATAAATCCATAACAAATTGGACAACTCCAAGGAGCAATTTGGTGGTATTCATTGGAGGCTTTCAGTTTTCATTTCTTATAAGTTGAAATTGATTCAATGTTTTAACATGAATGTATTCATATATCATTTAATTTTAGCAAAATAATAAACACATATAAAACACTGGAAAATGCTCTTTCTGTATCCCACACTATTTGATTATAAATCACCACTTTCTAGATTTACTTGTATCTCTACCTCATAGTAGTCAACAGATAGTTCTTTTTTTGAGTCAGAGTCTCACTCTGTTGCCCAGGCTGGAGTGCAGCCTCGACTTGCTGGGTTCAAGCAATCCATCTGCCTCAGCCTTCCGAGTAGCTGGAACTACAAGCATGCACCACCACGCCCAGCTAATTTTTTGATTTATTCTAGAGATGAAGTCTCACCAAGTTGCCCAGGCTGGTCTCATACCCTGGACTCAGGCAATCCTCTCACCTCAGTCTCCCAAAGTGCTGAGATTACAGACTTGAGCCACCATGCCCAGCCCAACAGATACTTTCTGGTACATTGGCTATTGACTAACAGTAGGAATAATATTTATCACCAGATTCTTATCACTAAAAATAATCTAATTCTTTCTCTTTTTTTTTTTTTTTTTTTTTACTTTTTTTTGGGGGGGTTGCAGTCTCACTCTGTCTCCCAGACTAGAGTGCAGTGGCATGCTCCCGGCCACTGCAGCCTCGACCTGCTGGGCTCTGGCGATCCTTCCGCCTCAGCCTTCCAAGTAGCCGGAACTACAGGCGTGCGCTACTACACCCGGCTAATTTTGAATTTATTGTAGAGAAAAGTCCTCACCAAGTTGCCCAGGTGGGTCCCGAACCCGCAGGTTCAGGCAATCCACTCACCTTGTCCTCCCAAAGTGCCAGGATTACAGGCTGAGCCACCAAGCCCGGCCTCTAATTCTTTAAGTAAGCAAGACTTGTTTTTCCCCATGAGAGATAACTACATGTTTAGTTTCTCCAACATATAAGTAAAAGATACATTCAGAGTTAGATCGACAATTTATTACTAGTTTTAAAATTTAACTTTTAAAGCTGAAAGATGAACTCTAGAGTGGAGTATATATTGCTGATACTCCAAATGCTGCCAGTCCAAGGACACCCAGACAACCCATAATGGATAACAGAGATAAAATCGGGTTAGGGAAACAAGACTTTTGTTTAAATTAATTTTGTTCTTTTTTGGTCTTTTTAATGTTTCATAATGTCTTAACTATTTAATTCTGTCAATGGTTTTATTAGTTGTAATACAGTAGGCTACTTCCTTTTGTTCATACACTTTCTAAAGTTCTTAAGACCACATCTTTGGGTGGTCACTTCTTAATCTTCTTTCCTTTCTTTTTTTTTTGGATTCGAGGTCTCACTCTGTTGCCTAGGCTGGAGTACAGTGGTATGATGAATGTTCACCACAGCCTTAGTTTCCTGGGCTCATATGATTCTCCCACCTCAGCCTCCCAAGTAGCTGGGACAACTGGCACAAGTCACCACATTCAGATAATGTTTTTATTTTTATTTTTGTAAAGATGAGGCCTTGCAGTGTTGCCCAGGCTGAAATCAAACTTCTGAGCTCAAAAAATTCTCTCGCAGCCAGGCTCGGTGGCTCAGCCTGTAATCCCGCACCTTTGGGAGGCTGAGGTGAGTGG